CCAGAGCTATTCACAGGGTTAACAAATAATAATCATAATCTAAATAACATTAACCAACTATTAAATTACCAAATCTATAAAGCCCTTTAACTCCCTTTTTAGATAAATTTAAGTAAATTAAAGTTAAACACAGTAATGCACATATAATAATATCATAATAATAATGAAAAATAACAGAAAAAATAAACTATTATAAAATATTAACGATAATAATACTCTAAAATTTACTCAAAAGCCAAATGGAACTTTTTAGTCCCATATTTATTCTGGATATAATCTTATCCATCTTCTCCAAACCGAAATATATCTTTCTTGTGAATGGTCCTTCACATAAGCGGAAATCTTGGCCATTTCTGCTAAATTTGACACTTTAAGCGACCATTCTTCTATAGTAGGCAAACGATCCGTCTTCCAATATTGAAAGATCCAGGAACTTTCTGAAGTTCCAGCTTTCCATCCCATTTCCACACACACCTTAAAAGTGCTGGCTGGGGAATTCTGGGAGTTGAAGTCCACACATCCTAAATAATTCTGGCTGAGGAATTCTGGGAGTTGAAGTCCACACCTCTTAAAGCAGTGGTTCTCAACCTGTGGGTCGGGACCCCATTTGGGGTCGATCGACCATTTCACGGGGGTCGCCAAGCAAGGCTGTCCACCATTTTTTTTGTCCACCATTTTTTTTGTCCGCCATTTTTTCCCCCTTTTCCGGCAGGTGCCTTACCTCCCTTGAGCTGGGCCAGCTGGTGGTTGGCCTGCTCGGTCTCTGCCGCTTGCCAGCTACGCTTCGGCCGGTGCAGGGGGCAGAACCACGCATGCATGGTGCTCCCGGGCAGGGAAAGTCCTCGACTTACGACCGGTTGGGTAGTCCTCGACTTACGACCGGTTTAGTCCTCGACTTACGACCGGTTGGGGTCGCGGCATTAAAAAGGTTGAGAACCACTGTCTTAAAGGTTGTGGACACTGATGTCAAAGCTTCACAGTGCATTTTTAACCCAGTTTGGGCTGCCCCAGTGTTGGAAAAAAAACCTGGAAAATAGCAGGGAGGGAGGCGGGAGTAGGTCTGTAGCCTTGGCCAGCTCCATTGTCGGCGCTGGAGAAATATACGCGTAACTTGGAAGCACGCTGGTTCACGTTAACACAAACCTGCACATTTTAAAGAGCGCAATTCCGGATTTTACAGAGAGGATCTCACTTGGGGTTAAGGTCAGCGCTACACAGACGCAGTGAGATTTGGCTAATTTAATGCCCTAGCCGGGGATCCCTTGTAAGCCCCATGTGCACCGCGTTTGCACGCTCGATCCGAACCTCATTCGGAGGAGTAGACAGAGCCATCTCAAGTCGGAGCAACCTGCTTGCAACCTGCTTGTTTGCAAAGAGGCATTCTCGGAGACGCTAATAACCCGCCATGAATATCTGGGACTCGTTTGTGTGTGTGTGTGTGTGTGTGTGTGTGTGTGTGTGTGTGTGTTTTCCCCCTTTTCCTGCACGCACTCACATCCTTTGTTCCCCAGGCAAAGCTCTGCAGACATTTGCTGTTTTCCGGCATTAAATATGTTCGGCAAGGTAATTAACAAGACGGAGGCTAATTATAATGGGTGTCCGTTTCGAAATGTCAAACCTATTGAAGCTTCGTTTCCATAATGCTCTTAATGAGCCTCTTTTGCACCGAGGGGTCTGCACAGGCAAGGGGTTAAATCTGGAATGACCAAAATCCTTTTTCTGGTGGGCTGCAGGACTTTGGCCAGTGGGATCTCTCTCTCTCTTTTCTCTCCTCTCCTCTCTCTCTCTCTCTCTTCTGTCTCTCTTTTCTCTTCTCTCTCTTCTCTTTCTCTCTCTTCTCTCTCTCTTCTCTTCTCTCCTCTCCCCTTCCCTCGCCTCCTCTCCTCTCTCTCCCTCTCTTCTCTCTTCTATCTCTTTTCTCTTTTCTCTCTCTTTCTTCTCGCTCTCTTTTCTCTCTTCTCTTCTCTCCCCTCTCCTCCTTTCCTCTCTTTCTCTTCTCTCTCCTCTCTCTCTCTCTCTTTTCTCTCCCTCCTCCCCTCTATCTCTCTCTTCTGTCTCTTTTCTCTTCTCTCTCTTCTCTCTTTCTTCTCTCCTCTCCTCTCCCCTTCCCTCTCCTCCTCTCTCTCTCTCTTCTCTCTTCTATCTCTCTTCTCTCTCTTTCTTCTCGCTCTCCTTTTTCTCTCTTCTCTTCTCTTCTCTCCCCTCTCCTGCTTTCCTCTCTCTCCTCTCTCTGTTTTCTCTCTCTCTTCTCTCTCTCTCCTCTTTTGCACCGAGGGGTCTGCACAGGCAAGGGGTTAAATCTGGAACTGGCCAAAATCCTTTTTCTGGTGGGCTGTAGGACTTTGGCCAGTGGGATCTCTCTCTCTCTTTTCTCTCCCTCCTCTCCTCTCTCTCTCTCTCTCTTCTGTCTCTCTTTTCTCTTCTCTCTCTTCTCTCTTTTCTCCTTTCTCTCTCTTCTCTCTCTCCTCTCCCCTTCCCTCTCCTCTCCTCTCTCTTCTCTCTTCTATCTCTTTTCTCTCTCTTTCTTTTCACTCTCCTTTCTCTCTCTTCTCTTCTCTCCCTTCTCCTCCTTTCCTCTCTCCTCTCTCTTCTCTTTCTCTCTTCTCTTTCCTCTCTCTCTCTCCTTTCCTCTGTTTCTCCTCTCTCTCTTCTCTCTCTGTCCTCTCTCTCTCTGTGTCTCTCTCTCTCACGTGTTCGAGGGCTGTTTCTTTCATCCGGCGTGTGTTTTGTTTCATTTCTCATTTTTTTTTGTTTTCTTTTTGTTGTTCTACCTCTCCTCCCCCCCCCCCCCAGTATTTTAAGAAGCAGAAACGGCTCATCCCCGAACGGACCGTTTGGAAATATTTTGTGCAGTTGTGCAGCGCGGTGGAACACATGCATTCCCGCAGGGTGATGCACAGAGGTAACCCAAGTTCTGCAGCTTTTTTTTTTGCGGAATAATAGAGGCAATTAGGAAGTGTCGGCATTCCGAAACAATTATGCTGATGTGCAGGCATTCCCAGCTTTGGGGGAGGGGAGGGGGCCGTGGTGCCGACGAAATGGATCTTTCCCTCACGCCCAAGTTGAGTCCAGTCTGCATGGACCACCACCACGATGAGTACGGAGACGAATTTCCTCCAGGTGTCAGGCCAAAAATTCAGGGGGAGCCTCACTGTCTCTCTCCCCCTTGGCATAGAGTGGGGGGGGTTCACGTTGGGGGACAGCAGCGAGCCCCTACCTCCTCTTTAGAGGGGGCTTCGAGGCTTTAGACCCCTGAAAAAGAGACATTTTGGGAAGACACAAGCGCCAGGAAAACTTACCCTGGTTCTCTTCATCGTCCTTCTGACGTTATCGGAATTAAGCAAGGGATTTTAATATTCCGCGCAGGGATGGTTTTGAGTTTCCGAAAAAGTTAAAAGGCTGGAGGGGAGGGGGGGTTGGATAAAAGCGTTCCTCGGAGCACTTCAGTGCCCGGTGGGCTATTTTAAGTCGAATTTTAAGCCTGTTGAGTTCTGCGTTTTCCAGGGTAGTTCTTCATGGCTTGGTAGCCCTGAGCCGTGGGGTGGTGGGAGTCATCTAAACTTAATAAATAAATAAAACGAATAAACTTTTCAGGAATACCGGGCCCTGTGAAAAGAGGCTAAGGAGGGCCTGTTTTAAATCAGCCGCGAGGGCCCCCCCGTGGGGATCAAAGCACCCTCCTTACTCATAGTGTAAGTCGATGGATCGCGAGAGAGTAAGCGGAAGGCTGTCAGATCCAGAAATCTCTTTCTCTACCTTTGATTTCTCTCTTTCTCTCTCTCTCTTTCTCTCTCTCCTCTTCCAGACATCAAGCCAGCCAATGTGTTCATTACTGCTACTGGAGTGGTGAAGCTGGGAGATCTGGGCCTGGGGCGTTTCTTCAGCTCGAAAACCACTGCTGCACATTCCTTAGGTAAAGCAGGGGAGACCCCTCCCCACTTAACACCTGGTTTGACCTGCATTGTGGGTCGTCCTCAGCCCTTCCTTTCCTTCTGTCTTCCCTTCTCCTTTCTCTTCTCCCTTCTCCCTTCCCGTTTCCCTTCTTCCTTCTCTCTCTCCTCTTCCTTCTGCCTTCTCTCTTCTCCACCCTTTTCCCTTTCCCCTTCCCTTTTTTCCTTTTCCTTCTCTCTTTCCTCTTCCTTCTTCCTTCACTTCTGTCTTCCTTCTCCCTTCTTCTCTCTTCTCCTCCCTTTTTCTCCTTCCTTCTCTGTTCTCTTCTCCCTTCTCCCTTTTCCCTTCTTCCTTACCCCTTCTCTTCTCCCTTCCCTCTTCCTTCTTCCTTCACTTCTGTCTCCCTTCTCCGTTCTCTTCTGTTCTCTTCTCCCCTCTTCCCTTTTTCCTTCTCCCTTCTCTCTTCCCTCGTCCTTCTCTCTTCTCCTTTTTCTTCTCCCTTCTCCCTTCCCATTTCCCTTCTTCCTTCTCTCTCTCCTCTTTCTTCTGCCTTCTCTCTTCTCCACCCTTTCCCCTTCCCTTTTCCTTCTCTCTTTCCTCTTCCTTCTCCCTTCACTTCCATCTTCCTTCTCCTTCCTTCTCTCTTCTCCTCCCTTCTCCCTTCTCTTCTCCCTTCTCCCTTCTTCTATCCCCCTTCTCCTTTCTCCTTTCTCTTCTCCCTTCCCTCTTCCCTCTTCCTTCACTTCTCCCTTCTTCTGTCCTTCTCCGTTCTCTTCTCCCTTTCTCCTCCTTCCTTCTCTCTTTCCTCTTCCTTCTGCCTTCTCCACCATTTTTCCTTTCCCCTTCACCCTTCCCTTTTCCTTCTCTCTTTCTTCTTCCTTCTCCCTTCACTTCTGTCTTCCTTCTCCCTTCTTCTCCTCCCTTCTGCTCCCTTCTACCTTCTCTATTTTCTTCTCCCTTTTCCCTTCTCCCTTTCCCTTCTTCCTTACCTCTTCTCTCTTCCCTCTTCCTTCTTCCTTCACTTCTCCCTTCTTCTGTCCTCTTTCTCCCTTCTCTTCTCCCTTTCCCCTTCTTCCTTCTGTCTTCTTCCTTCTCTCTTCCCTCGTCCTTTTCTCTTCTCCTTTCCCTTCTCCTTTCTTCCTTGTCCCTTCTCCCTTCACCTATCTCTTCTCCTTCCTTCACTTCTCTCTTCTCCTTTCTCTTCTTTCTCCTCTCCTTTCTTTCTCTCTCTCTCTCTCTCTCTCTCTCTCTCTCTCTCCTTCCTTCCTTCTTTCCCTCCTTCCTTTCTTCCATCCTCTCGCCCTTCCTTCTTCCTCCTCCTCCTCCTCTTCTCCCCCTCTCCCCACCCTCCCCTCCCCTCTTCTCCCTTTTAACAATCTCAGTGGCCTCTAACCCTTCTGCATCAATTTGTCCTGGAGGAGATCAGCTGGTCCCACACCAGCCTGCTGTTGTAACCCCAGCCAGGAGGGAAAGCACAGCACAACTTCTCTCGCCCAGGACCTGACAGAATCAGTTGGAAATAATCTTGAAACTTCCCTTTTTCATTTCACTGGCAGCAGATAAAGGTTCAGGCTAGGTGGCCAGGAGTCCCTTGATGGCAGAGGGCTTCAAATGTAACTGATAACAACTACCAAGGGGGCAAATAAGAGGGTGACGAGGCAAGGGCCCGGTTGATTTTTCCAAACTTGGGAGCTAAGTCGGGTCGAGCGATGGGACGGGTGGCTAATACCTCCGGGAAAAAATGGTCCTACGAAATTCACAGTCTGGAGGCCGGAACAAAAACAGCGCTAGTCACTTCCTTTTTGCTGCTCAACGACTTCAAGATTTCCGTAAAGTTCACCCGCAAATAGCCAGAAGATTTCTTTAGCATGATGGCCGCAAAGCCCGTTTACGTACAACGCTTTGATTTCTTTTCCTTTCTTTGGCGGCCGTGACGGAGGAGCCGAAAATTCGGCTTTCCGGTGAAGCAGAAGACCTGTGATCAATGTCGGGAGAGATCAAGCAATGCCCCGAGGGCTTTTGTAGGACAAATCTGTCAAAACTACCCACTTTTGGTGCTCGGGAAAGGCGCTAAAGCGAAGAACGACAAAAAAAGCACCCAGGTTGGATCTTGTGATGGGTGCCCCTGGCCCGTTTCCCCCCCCCTTTAAAAAGCACCTTTTTCCTTCCAAAAATCCAGCGCTTTCCACATGTGTCATTCCACCTGAGCTTTTGCATCCCTTTTCCCGGCGGAAAATCTTGCCGGATCAGTTTAATCTGGATTTTTTTGCAGTTTGATCACCGGCAACGGCAGACATATCCGCGGCCTGATTTTGTGTGTGATCCCGGCTCCTGTCTATTTTCCCGGTTGCCTAGGCAACCGCCCTGAACTCTAATACCGGAGGCTGGCGACCCATGCGCTGAGCATGGAGCTTATGCAAATAAATGCACCTAATTTTATTATTTTTCCCCCTTCCTTCCTTCCTCTCTCCCTCCCTCCGTCCTCCTCCTTCGTATTTGCCAACATCAAACCGGCATAAAAGGGCATTAGGCAATGCCACAACTTGTCTGACAGGTGTACTCCTAGCTCCGGCAGGGCAGACGCCTCCGTGTCAGAAACAGAAGCCGTAATTAGAGCAAGGAAGAGGAGGCACGTCAAACGCATTACCTGCCGGCGGATCAGATTTGTCAGGAAGGATCGCATACATAAAAATTAAGTGACAGTACATGCCGGGGTAATGAAAGAAAAAAACAATGGAAGATTTGCCCGCGTGCGCTTCTCCGCGGAGATGCGGGAGACGGCTCGGCTCAGCTCGGCAAATTATGCAGATGGATTGAGAGGCTCGGATGCCACCCGCCCGGATTCGGGGGGTGAGGCCGGCTCCAACCAACAGCCGGGAAGAGAAACTTTTGAGGTGCATCCCTTCAATGCCTTGTCAACTCCGGAGCCTCTCCAGATGTTCCGGCTGCATCCGGGTTCGATCGCCCGGCAAAAAAGTCAGGCTCTCCGTTGGCAGAACAGACGATGTCGTGCACTTTGGCGGGGGTGGGGGGGGGCGAGGTTATGGGAATGCAGTCTTACATCGCCCCGGTCTTTTGCTAAACCGAAGCTGGTGCGGTGCCAGGCAAAAAAGGTCAAAAAAAGTCAGGCTTTCCCTCGAAGAGACGACATCGTGCAGTTTGGGACCAATGTCAATGGAAGGCAACGTTACATCACCCTAGTCTTTTCTTCACCTCTGCCCCCCAGCTGGTTTGGTGCCAGGCAAAAAGTCAAAAAAATATCAGGTATTTCCCTAGAAAGAACAGACAATGTCGTCCACTTTGGGGGCGATGTCGCTGGAATGCAGCATGACGTCACCCTAGTCCAGTGTTTCTCAACCTTGACAATTTTAAGGCATGTGGACTTCAACTCCCAGAATTCCACAGCCAGCAATGCTGGCTGTGGAATTCTGGGAGTTGAAGTCCACATGTCTTAAAATTGTCAAGGTTGAGAAACACTGCCCTAGTCTTTTCCGAAACCCAAGCTGGTTTGGTGCCGGGCAAAAAGTCAAAAAAATGTTAGGCTTTCCCTAGAAAGAACAATGTCATCCATTTTGGGGGCAACATCACTGGAATGCAACATTACATCACCCTAGTCTTCACACATACACCCAGCTGGTTTGGTGCCAGCAAAAAGGCAAAAATATCAGGATTTCCCAGAAAGAACAGACAAAATGTTGTCCACTTTGGGGGAGACATCACTGGAATGCGGCATTATGTTACCCTAGTGCAGGGGTAGGCAACCTTGGCTCTTTTATGACTGGTGGACTTCAACTCCCAGAATTCCTGAGCCAACCATGCTGAGGGGAAAGGGAGAGGTTTCTATGCTGAGCTATGTTGGCTCAGGAATTCTGGGAGTTGAAGTCCACGAGTCATAAAGCGGCCTAGGCCAGAGGTAGGCAACCTTAGCTCTTTTATAACTCGTGGACTTCAACTCCCAGAATTCCTGAGTCAGCCATGCTGAGGGGAAAGGGAGAGGTTTCCATGCTGAGCCATGCTGGCTCAGGAACTCTGGGAGTTGAAGTCCACGAGTCATAAAAGAGCCAAGGTTGCCTACCCCTGCCCTAGTCTTTTCCGAAACCCAAGCTGGTTTGGTGCCAGGCAAAAAGTCCCCCCCACCACCCAAAAAAAGTCAGGCTTTTCCTAGAAAGAACAATGTTGTCCACTTTGGGGGCAACGTTCCTGGAATGCAGCATTACATCACCCTCGTCCAGGGGTGTCAAACTCACAACGTCACGTGACGTGTCGTGACTTTTTT